GCCATACTATATGGCGGATGTGATCAACCATGGAGATGAATATGATCACCAATGCGCTATGGTCTGGACAGCATGGTCGGGGGCGATTGCATAACCTAGCCACTTGACTAATATCCACAGTTTTTCGATGATTGTTTGATCGCGTTTCAGGTTTAACAATTTCATTTCTGAAAATTCAGGAGATGAAGATCGTGTTCAGATGGATATGGCAAATCAATTCATTGTTGAACTCGACTTGAAACGTTCCATGTTGTACACAATGCATCGTTTCTTGAAGAATCTCCTCTCAGAATGCTCTTTCGATCTGTTATTCAGGTGGTTATTTGAAAAGTATTTGATTAGCACTGCTGATTATAACAATTCGTTGGTGTTCAACATATCAGATGGATTGCTTTTTAAGGCCCGAGCGTGTTGAGCCAAAATGGATTGAATTTGATCGTGATCACAGACGTCAAACATGGCTTGATTCGTTTTCAGTTGATGGCGATTTATTGATGTTCACAGAATCGCTGAGAGAGGTGCGGTTGCTTATGTAGAATCTAACTAATTTCTAATTAGAATTATGAAAAGTTTACTGTGAAATGGGTGAGAATAATTTTTTTGGGCGAAGTCAACGTTTAAATGATCTATTGTTCGATATTTCAGCAAAACGCAATAACATCAAATATATACGCAACGAATATGCAACAACCAAAGAGTACTGTACATATCCTCATCGTTAATTTTGCTACTGATCTCATTCTTCTCAAAAAGTCAACCATTGTTGAACTGACTGCGAGAAATGTCTCGACGTTTGGTTAGTTAACATTTTTAACCAATCAATTCGACAGAACTTTTGCATCAAACTCAACTCATAATGACTATCTATTTTTACCTCATAATGACTATTACTTAATTGCAGGAATGCGTTCTCAAATATCTATTCTTAAATCTAAACCATTAGTTAGAGGGCATTCTTTCGAGATAATTTCGTTGAGAATAAAGTCGAGTGTTTATTCGAGCAAATTGATGATTTCTCATCGGATCGAATANATGAATTATCCATCAAATAGGTGAATTATTGTTTCAGATAAATTGCTGTTTCAAAAGGCATCTCAAAAAGCATCGGCACGAGAATCGTCAACAAAACGACCGCAATATGCGACAAAGAACACAATTTGGACATACAAACCGTATTTGGGAGCTTATCCGTCGATAGCAAAGCAACAATCTACAACAACAACAGCTCCTCATCAGAAAACACCAGCTAAAACCAGACAACCGTCGACGGCAACTGGAACTCGAGATTGGCTGGATGCAACAACAACAACAACAACAACTTCTCCACCTGGAGATGTTGAAAGGAAACCACTCACCGATGAGGTTTCCTATAGACGTCCGTCAGGTACACAACCCTCGATAACAGCCTCATTCACAAGGAATACGCCAAGATATTCATCAACACGAAACATTCCAAAGTTTGTCTTTGCGTTCCATTCTAGGAACATAATTAGCTAACAACGTATCATGATTCGATAAGTTCTTTGCAGTAAATTTATTATAGAGAAGCTCAATGTCACTGATTTGTTCATTAATGGACATTATATTTCATCTATGTANATCTATGTAAAAAATCTGAAATGTACACGATCGCTGGAATCGATAACAATTTTTTGCTGAAATCAATTCCAAATTCCGATATAACTCGTCCTCCTAAACCGACCAAAGAATGAAAGATTGAGTACAACTTCATTTAGGGAGAATGATCATGAAGAAAGTGGACGAAGTGGAGCAGAAATGGGTTCAATAACAATTGATGAAATAGACGAGGATCAAGCAAGAAGCATCCCTTCAAATGGAGATAAAGCATTGCAAGGAAAGGATTTCGAAAGTGTTGAGAGACCGTCGAACGCAGATTTCGATGCGAATAACGACAATGATAAATCTGAATCACGTACACCAAAAGACCGACATTCACTGATGGAGGATCAGTATTCGGCAAATGATAAACCGAAAGATAAGTGGAATGATCTTGACAATACTGATGTTGATCACTACAATGATGGTGAAGATGAGCTAGAGGACGGTATATACGGCATCAGTGACGATTTCTCGAATGAAAGTGGTCCGAGACCCCGTCCAACAAAACATCCGCGTCAGAATACCGGTGAACCACAATCGCCTCCTCAAAACGAAACACTCAAAAGTGTTGCTGCTAAACATTACTCGCATATTGTCAGTTTTGACAATCAAATTTTCAGAATTTTCCTTTTATTCTTCGTTTCACTGCAAATGATGCATTACTGAGTTTGTGAACGGCAGAAGGAAGATCCCTTCTGTGACTTTTCTCTTTGCATATTTTGTGCTTTTCATATTGATAAATGCATGTATATCTTCACAAAACATCAATACAATGTGTGTTTTACGACAGCAATTCGACTGATTAACTTGTTGAATTGATTAGCACTTTCTTTGCAAAAATATCAACCATTTTGAAACAATCTCACAGTCAGATAGAGAACTAATTGCTTGGCTCTAGAATGTTTCGACTGAAGCGATTGTGCAATGATCATTAGATTCACTGCAGAAAATAATTTAAGATTTCAAGAGTTTCTCACCTTCATACGAATAATTAATAGGGCAGCAGTCAGTCTGATTGCAAAAAATTTTCGACTTCTCCTAAACTGCTGCAAGTAAAGCCTCGAAACATCAGAACGTAAAATTCACAATCCAGGCTGATAAAAGACGCGGAAGGAAGTACGTAAAAAAGACTGACTACTTTTCAGATACAGTTGAACTGTTATATTTTAGTGGAGAAGAATAATTCTGCCTTTTAATTGGTTTTCCAATAGGCTTTCATGACTATTCTGCAAGCACATTTTCCACTGAACAGAACTAGAATGGTAATTTATGGTCAAACTGTAATTCACGTCGAATTGCGATGATGCATAAA